CGACAGAGCCCGGCCTGGCTGGCTCCGGCTATTTATGGGTCCGGAAGGGGTCGGTTCCCCCTTTTCTAGGGTTTCCTGCCTCCGCTGCTGATCTGCGACGGCGCCATTTCCCTATCCGCCGCTTTGTCAGATCCAAGCCTCCCCCTCCCCTCCTCCTCCCCTTCTCGTTGGTGGTGGCGATGGACCGCTCCCGTGGGTCCTCCAGCGACGCTGTCTCCGGCCTCAAGCAGGGGCGGGACGGCTCTGGCGACGCCGCTGCGGATCTGGAGTTTGAGGCGTCGCTCCGCGCCAAGCTCCAGGCTTCGCGGTCGGAGGCGGGTGCCGCTTCGCCGCGTGCGTCTGGTTCCGGGCCGGTGGCTTCTCTGTCCTTGGCGCCCGCAGCTCCGGTGCATGTGGTCGACCCTTGGGAACAGGCGGTGCGCGGGAGCCGGGCGGGATCTTCGGGCCCCTCCTCGTCTCCTTCCTCGCTTGCTCCCATGGGTGGGCCGCCGCGGGCGCCGGCGGCGGGCGGCGGCGGGCCGTCCCGCTTCGTTCCTCGTGGTGGCTCTGGGGCCCCGGGCCAGCGTCCGGTTGGCCCTGCGGCGGGACGTGGTGCTGGCGCGGGTGCCGTCGGTGGTTCTTCTGGAGATGGCATCCTCCCTCCGCCGCCTTCTCGTGGTGCGAATCGTAACCCCTCTCACTCCCAGGTTTCTAATCCCATCCTCACCTGCTTCGCGTGTCATCGCCCTGGCCATTTCCAGTCTCGGTGCGAGAACCCTCCTTTCTGTCTCATCTGTAGGGAGGATGGACACCTAACGGTGGACTGTCAGAGTAGGATCAAGCCCCCCTCCTTCGTCCATTTTGGGATTGGCCTCCCGGTTTGCTTTTTTTTGCCATGGACAAGGAAGTCCCCGCAGCTGCTCCCATTCCCTCCCTGTCCAACGTGGGTGTCATTACTGTCCAAGACAAGCGTATCTCTTCATAAGCCCTCTTGGATGAACTTCATACGTGGGATGAAGGGGGTTGGGACTGGCAGATCCGGCAGCTTTCTGATTTCGAGTTTGCGGCCACTTTCCCCTCTAAAGAGAGTCTTCGCATGATGTCTTCCTGTACCAGTTTCACTCTCCCTGTGAATCAACTTGTTGTATCGGTCAAAGCGGCTTCCAACGGATCCAAGACCATATCTCCTCTGTCTGATGTCTGGGTGCTCGTTGATGATGTGCCTCCCAACTTGCGCACCGTGTCCTTCTTGATGGCTTTTGGGGTGCTTATCGGGAAACCTATTGAGGTCGATCTTGCTTCGCTGTCGGTTCTGGGTCCTGCTCGCCTTCGTGTGTGGTGTGTTGATCCGATCTGCATCCATGGTTCCGTTGATGTCTTCCCGGCGGCTGGTGGCTTTCGTCTTCGAGTTCGGGTGGAAGGTGCTCCTGGTGCGGTCGCTCCTCCTCCCCCCCTCCTCCCCCGGCCTCGGGTGACGATGACAAGAGCCGGGAGGGTGGGGGGGTCCTGAGGACTCGCTGAATGGCACGGATCCCCAATTCACCCAGTCTGCGTGGGATGGGCTTTCTCCTGCTGAGCAGGAGCTGATGAAGGACTGTGCTCCGGCTCCGGCGGGTGGTGGGGTTCAGGGCTCGGTGCCTGGTACGGTGGCTGGTCCTGCGGCCGCGGCTGCTTCGAAGGGCACCCCCTTGTCGGGGGCGTGCTCCAACATGCCCGTGCGCCCCACCTCCCCCTCGCTGTCCGGCATTGAAGATCTACCTCCAGTGGGACCTTCGGCGGCCAAGAAAAGGAAGAAGTCCTCGGTGAAGAAGTATTCCGCGAAGAGTCGGGCCTCGGGGGACTCCAGGCAGTCGGCGGCTGGGCTCTGCCGCCGTCTGGAGGCGGACCTGGGGGCGGCTTCGGGCCCTTCTTCGGCGGCGGCTTCCCCTGGTCGGGCCCCTCCGGTCCCTGTGCGCTCTCCTGCCTCGACCGCTCGCAAGAGTGGCCGCGTCTCCAACAGTGGCGAGCGCGTGGTGGATCGGGCGGCTAGGCGTGCGGCGGCGCGTGATCTTCCCCCCTCAGGTTTGGATTCACCCTCATCTCCTTCCCCCCCTTTGGCTCAGTCTCCTGTTAGGCTTGTTTTACCCTCCCATTCCGATGAACATCTCCTTTCGATATTAGCTGATGTTGGGATATGTCTAGACGCTAGCGTGGGTTCTCCCTCCTCTCTGTTGCAGTTGATTCGTGCTAATGAACGTGCTCAGGCTGATATCGCCAAGGCCAAGGAGGCCGGGACTGGGATGGATGCCCCTCTGGTTGTGGCCGGAGGGGAACCGGGCGAGGTTGCTAGGGGGCAGCTGTCTCCGGTGCAGAAGCGCGGGGCCGGGAAACGTGCTAAAACCTGCAAGGCTCCGTGCAGGTCGAGCTTGAGAATTAAAAACCTTTCCCTAAGATGAAGGCCCTGTTTTGGAACATTAGAGGGTTCTGCGCTAGGGGGCGCAGAGACCAACTGAAGGACTTAATGCGCGCTGAAAGAATTGATTTTATCGGGCTTGTTGAGACTCTTAAACCCTCCTTTTCTCCTTCTGAACTATCGGTGATTGCTAGGATTGATAGATTTAGGTGGAATTTCGTGGCCTCTGTTGGTCAGTCCGGCGGCTTTCTTCTGGGCACCAATAATGTCACCTTTGATTTTGTGGCTTTCGACCATGGTATATACTGGGCTAGTATGGTAGTTTCCCTACGTTCCAATAACACCCTCCTTGAACTTATGGTAGTATATGGTCCGGCTGATCATTCCTTGTCACAAATTTTCTTGGATGAGATTTTTACTAAAATTGATGCCTGCCAACTGCCACTCCTGATTGGGGGTGATTTTAATCTGCTTCGGTATCCTTCTGATAAGAGTTCTGTCAATTTCTCCTGGGTGCAGGCCGAGGCTTTTAATGCTTTCATCAGGGACACGGCTATCCGTGAGATCCCGAGGGTTGGGGCCCGCTACACTTGGACCAACCGACAGACTTGTCCTATTCGCTCGGTTCTTGATAAAGTTTTTATCTGCCCTGCTTGGGATGGCCTTTTTCCTCGCTGCTCACTTCGGGCCCTCCCCATCGTCGGGTCCGATCACGCTCCTCTCATCCTTGACGATGGTCTCTGCCCCAATGGCTGCCAAAGATTTCAATTTGACGCGTCCTGGCTTTTAGTGGAAGGGTTCCCTGATATGCTGGCTTAGAAGATCTTGGGCTTTCTTACCTCCCCCCATCGTTCATTTGGCCCTATGGATGACTGGCATTATGTTTCTTACTCCCTACGCAAGTTCCTTAGAGGATGGGCCAAGAACCACTTTGCTGAGTCGAGGCGCGACAAATCTAGGTTGAGTGCTCAAATTAGTGCCCTCGACTTCCGTGCGGACAACGATGGGCTATCGGCTACTGAGTGGAAAGTTCGCTATGGCCTTGAGAAGGAGCTTCTGGCTATTCATCGCCAAGAGGAAGTGTATTGGAAGCAAAGGGGTACGATTAATTGGACTCTTAAGGGTGATTCTCCCACGGCTTACTTTTTCGCCATTGCGAATGGCAGACGGCGTAGATGTTTGATTAACAGCCTCATTATTGATGGTGTTAGGGTCTCTGAACCGCCGGTCATTCTCCGTCATGTAGTTCGGTTCTTCTCTAACCTGCTTCCGGCTAAACCAGACCTCGGATTCGCGCTAGCCCCGGGCTTCTGGGCTCCCCTTGATAGGATTTCTCACACTGATAATGAGCTTCTGTTGATTCCCCCTTCTGAGGAGGAAATTTTTGATACTATTCGGACGGCTAATTCTAATGCGGCTTCAGGCCCTGATGGCTTCTCCATTCCGTTCTTTCGACAATTCTGGCCCCAACTAAAAGGTCTAATTTCTGCTGTCATCCAAGGGTATTGGCTGGGATCGGTTGACATTTCTAGACTTATCTATGCGGTTCTCTCCCTCATCCCTAAGGTCAATGGTGTGGATATGATTTCTCAATTTAGGCCGATTGCTTTAATCAACAACTTCGCAAAGATGCCTGCAAAGGGCATGGCCACTAGGCTATCTCCCATTGCACATCAGACCATTAGCCCTTTCTAGTCTGCTTTCATCAAAGGGAGGTTCATTTTGGACGGGGTACTTTGTTTACATGAGATTGTTCATGACTTACGGGTGCGAGGGACCAAGATTGTGGTTCTCAAACTTGACTTTGAAAAGGCCTACGACTCAGTTAGCTGGAAATTCCTTCGGCAAGTTCTTTTGGCTAAGGGCTTTGAGGGGCCTGTTATGCAGCGCTTGATGCAATTGGTTTCTGAGGGGCACACGGCTGTGGCTGTCAATGGTCAAATTAGCCAGTTTTTTGCTAATGGCAGGGGCCTCAGGCAAGGGGATCCAGCGTCCCCTTTACTCTTCAACTTTGTGGCTGATGCTCTATCTCGCATTCTCTCTCGAGCTGCCTTGGCTGGTCATATCACTCCGGTGAGCTCTCATCTCATCCCTAATGGCATCTCTCATCTCCAATATGCGGATGATACTATAATTCTGATGGAACTTAATGATAATAGCCTCACCAATCTAAAATTCCTTCTGCTTTGTTTCGAAGCGCTCTCAGGTCTTAAAATCAATTTCTCTAAGAGTGAGGTTGTAGTGACTGGGGTCTCGGACGAAGAGGCGCAGCGGGTGGCCCATCTTCTGAACTGCTCTTTGGGATCCTACCCTCTCAAATATCTAGGCCTCCCCATTTCCCCGCTTAAACTTTTGGCTAAAGAGTTCGCTCCGGTGGTTACCAAAGTTGGCAACAGAGTTCTCCCTTGGCGAGGGCGATATAATACGCAAGCGGGCAAGGTCGCCCTTACTAACTCCTGTCTTTCTTTGCTACCTATGTTCTTAATGGGATTCTATCTTCTCTCTAGTGGGGTTCATAATGGTTTTGACAAGCATAGGGGTGCTTTCTATTGGAACGCAGCGGCCAATAAACGTAAGTACAGGATGGTCAGATGGGACATTATATGTCGCCCCAAGGCCAAAGGGGGTCTGGGCATTATTAATACGCGAGTGATGAATAATTGTCTTATGATCAAATGGTGGTGGAAGATCATGACCCTTGAGGAACTGCCACCCTGGCTCTCTATCCTAAAAGCTAAGTATTTCCCCTCCTCGAGTCCTATGTTCGCGCCGGCTGCGGGTGGGTCGCAATTTTGGCATCAACTGGTTAAAGTCCGGCCGATCTTTCGGTCCCTTGTAAAATTTGTAGTTAGGAACGGTAAGTCTACGCGGTTTTGGCTTGATTGGTGGGTCGGGGACTCCACGCTGGCTGTTGCTTTTCCGGTTCTATTTTCATATTGCGATGATACTGAGGTTTCTATCTTTGAGCTCTCGGCTAGGGGTTGGGTTCTGGATTTTCGTCGTTCTCTTTCTCCTGAAGAGTTGGAAGATTGGCAGCGCCTTACTGCTTGCTTCCCCCTGCTCTCGGAGGAAGAGGATGCCGTGGTGTGGCCCCTCTCCTCTTTGGGGCGTTTTTCGGTTAAATCTGCTTACTCCAAGCTTATCCCTGGGGGGCGCCTGGTCAAGTTTAAGCATGTCTGGTCAGCTCGAATTCCTCCTAAGATCAAGATATTTCTCTGGCAAGCTGTCCGGAATAAGCTTCCGGCGGCCGATCAGATTAAGAAAAGAAACGGGCCGGGGTCCGACAGGTGTGTGCTTTGTGGGGCACTGGAGAACACCGAGCATATTTTCTTTCACTGCTCCTTAGCTAAACTTATGTGGAGTTGCATCAGACTCTGGTTACATGTAAATTGGTCCCCTTCCTCCTTTGAAGACCTGAGGCATTATGTCAATCTTCTTTCTGGCCATTCTAAAAGAGTCTTCTTAGTTGGATGGGCTGCGATTGGCTGGTCGTTGTGGACTACTAGGAATAAGTTCTCGATTGAACATATTTTTCCTGCTAATCCTGTCAATTGCTTATTTAAAGCCAATGGTTTCTTGCAGCAGTGGAGATTATTGACTAAAGAAGGGGACCTCCAGGTCTTCGACGCCATGCTATCCAAGATGAAATCTACGGCGTCTGGGCTTCTTTGGCTTTCTTTGAGGACGGCTTCCTGAATGCTCTTTTGGTGTCTGGTTTAGGCTAGCCTGCGTGCCATGTAAGGTCGCTGGCCTTGTAATGATACTTTATCTTCTGCGCGTGATACTTTGTTGGGTATTGTTGTTGGTCATATACTCTGCCTGGTGGCTTTATCTATAAAGTCGGGCTCTCGCCTTTTCTCTAAAAAAAGGGGGACTGGTACCCGCAGGGCCTCGACCGCGACAACATCAGCGGCATCAATGGCTACCGGGTGTTCATCGGGGTATCCATGATCCTCGCCGACAGCCTCCTACACATGCTCTACATCCTGGTTCGGACGCTCTACACCATGTACAACCCGCAGCCGAGGCAGAGCAGCAACGGGCAGCCGTTCCGGTGCCTTAGCGTCGTCCTAGACCGGTCGGCGACCAGCTTCGACGACCACCGGAGGACGCAGGTGTTCCTCCGGGACCGGATCCCCGCCGTGGCGCCCATCATCGGGTACGTGGTCCTGTCGGTCATCTCCACCCTCGTCATACCGCAGCTCTACACCCAGCTGAGGTACCACCACGTGGCCTTCGCCTACATCATCGCGCCGGTGTTCGCCTTCTGCAACGCCTACGGCAACGGCATCACGGACATGAACATCGCGACCACCTACGGGAAGGTCTCGCTACTCATCTTCAGCTCGTGGGTGGGGCTCAAGGACGGCGGCGTGGTGGTCGGGCTGGCCGCCTGCGCCATCATCGTGTCCAACGTGTCCACCGCGTCCGACCTGATGCAGGACCACAAGACGGGCTACATCACCCTCACATCGCCGCACACCATCACCATCTGCCAGGTCGCCGGCACGGTGCTCGGCTGCGTGGTGAACCCTGTCATCTTCTCGATCTTCTACAGCGTGTACAACAGCGGCGCCCACGACGACAGCAACAGCATCGGCCGATACGCCAAGGTGTACCGGGGGATCGCCATGCTCGCCATGACCGAGAAAAACGGGCTGCCCAAGCACACCATGCTGCTCTGCAAGGTCTTCGTCATGCTGGCGATGTCCATCAGCATGCTCCGGGAGGTGTCGACGCACAAGAGGTGGCGCGTCCTGAGGTACATCCCGAGCACCATCGGCATGGACGTGGCCTTCTTCGTGCCGCCCACGATCCCCGTGGGCATGGCGGTGGGCAGCACCATGATCTACCTGTGGGGGAGGTCCGACCGCGACGACATGCGGCTCATGTCGCCGGCGGCGGCGTGCGGGATGATCTGCGGGGACGGGTTCGTGTCGCTGCTGTCATCGACGCTCACGCTGCTCAAGGCCGCCCCGCCGATCTGCATCATGTTCGTGGCTCGAGGAGTGAACCAGAGCCTTGATGCTTTCCTAGCAGCGAAAGGCATGCCAACGTAGTTATGGGGATTCGACGTGCGTGTTGTACTTTGTAGCTAAACGCAAGTTTGGTCACATCGTGAGTACTCCGTATCCTGTATAATGTCGGTTTTTTAAGGTCTTGGAACGAACGCATGATAGCCGTCCGATGGCGAACATGGATCTTGCAAGGCTGGTCGCCATGTCACCTTCCTAGAACCATTCACACCCGATGCGAACAGCCTGAACGTTGTTCTTTAACCCAATGCCCCTCACGCACTAGCCTGGGTGGTTGAGATAGAGAGGGGGGAGGCCACAACCATGGTAGGGGTTGCGGCGGCCTCGGGGTGTTGGCCTCGCAACGGCGTGCGGCGGGTGTTGGGCAAAGTTCTGGCGGCTGCTCCACGCCTCGCATTCAAGAATACCCGCCCTCCGCCTCCTCGGCTCTCCACCGAGGAGGAGGCCATGGTGCTTCCCGATCCGCAACGGTGCCTCTCGATCCATAGAGGGAGCGCCGGGAGAGGGGCCCTCCATGTGGTTTTGCTCCAAGATCATCCGCCGCAGCAGCCATCCTCATCCTCGTACTCATACTTTGTTCCACAATGTCCATGGTGCTCGCTCCAGACGGTACTGTGTCCCCCGTTGCTAATTCCGCCCCAAAGTCAAATCTCCGGGCTAATGTGTTTGCTCCTGCTCTAGTTGTTGCAGGTGAGGTGGTGTTGCGGCTCTACCTAGCCTTCAATGCCATGATTGGGCGGAGGTTAGGCAGTTGGCTCCCCGTCTCGCCACATCGCTGCCGCCGTCGTGGGTGACATTGAGCCTCTTCACTTTCTCATATGTGCTCTTCCTCGACCGACCTAGCTACCGAACCAAGGAACCATGAGCTGCTCATCCCTTAGGATTTCACAAATGATAAGTGCCAAACGTCAAGTGTGTGGCTCTCCGTCCCTGACATTTTTCGATGGCAATTCCAGTCACAGAAGGATGGCAAATTCCAGTGGCACGCGACAAGTTTCTGTCAAAAATAAACTGAAGCACGAAAGTTGACATGCTTGCCAACTGAAGTTGCCATCCTCGCGTAGCTAAACTAGCCATTGTAAACGTTCGGAGTTGCCATGTGCTCGTACCTGACGTTTGACACTTATCAGGTGTCGGCGTCAAAACCGGCGGATCTCGGGCAGGGGGTCCCGAACTGTGCGTCTAAGGCTAATGGTAACATGAGGCGGGGGATACAATGTTTACCCAGGTTCGGGCCCTCTCTATGGAGGTAATACCCTACTTCTTGATTGATTGATCTTGATGAATATGAATATTACAAGAGTTGATCTACCACGAGATCGTAATGGCTAAACCCTAGAAGTCTAGCCTATGAGGTTATGATGATTGTGGCTTAACCCTAGAAGTCTAAACCCTCCGGTTTATATAGATATCGGGGGAGCTAGGGTTATACAAAGTCGGTTACAGAGAAAGGAATCTACATATCCGAATCTCCAAGATTGCCTTCCACGCCAAGGAGAGTCCCATCTGGACACGGGACAAAGTCTTATATCTTGTATCTTCATAACCCAACAGTCCGGCCAAAGTATATAGTCCGGCTGTCCGAGGACACCTTGAGGAAGTCCTGAATTAGGGGGTCCTCGGACAGCCGGACTATATACTTTGGCCGGGCTGTTGGACTATGAAGATACAATATTGAAGACTTCGTCTCGTGTCCGGGTGGGACTCTCCTTTACGTGGAAGGCAAGCTTGGCAATTCAGATATGTAGATCTCCTTCTCTGTCACCGACTCTGTGTAACCCTAGCCCCCTCCGGTGTCTATATAAACCGGAGGGTTTAGTCCGTAGGACAACAACAATCAGAATCATAGGCTAGCTTCTAGGGTTTAGCCTCTACAATCTCGTGGTAGATCAACTCTTGTAATACTCATATCATCAAGATCAATGAAGCAGGAAGTAGGGTATTACCTCCATCGAGAGGGCCCGAACCTGGGTAAACATCGTGTCCCCGCCTCCTGTTAGTATTAGCCTTAGACGCACGATTCAGGACCCCCTACCCGAGATCCGCCGATTTTGACACCGACATTGGTGCTTTCATTGAGAGTTCCACTATGCCGTCACGGTAAGGCTTGATGGGTCGCCTTGTTATCAAGGACAATATCACCTCTGGGGGAGCCCTGGCTTTAGGCCAAACTCTTCGACTAGGCAGCTTTGTCATGACCGCCCGATCGGCCGTCACGCCGACGATGACTTCTCAGGTCATCAAAAACAGCCACCACGTCAGCTTGAAACTTACCGAACAGATGGATCCAATGCAGCTATCCTCCCTGAACGAGCTCTTGAATCGCATCGCCGCTCTGGGGGTCGCTACGGACTATGATCGGATCGGGCTTAAACCCGACCAAAGGGAGATTAACTCTCCGCCGGTTACCCATTAGATAGCGGTGGTGGAGGAGCAATGCATCGATTCCTCCTCTATTTTGAGGACGAACTATGTCCGGATTCCCGAGCTCTCCAAGTCGGATACCAGTCTACGAGAGGACATGACCCAAGCTCCGAACCTAGAATCGGACAGTGGGCCAGAAAAATTGGGCAACATCCCGGAGCCCAAGCTGCCAAGCTCGGAAGCTCCCCTGCCCCTGGGTCTCAGTTCGGGTCAGGGTCTGGACTTAAATCTACCCACCCACCCAGATACAAGTGATTTTTCCCACATTAGACAAGAGCTCCAAGAGACAGTACATCACTTCTGGGCCAGATTCCTCCTTGTAATGAGCAAGGTTAAGGACTGTCGCGAGGAAGACGCAATCTCATTCTTTTGCAAAAATTGCACGGACAAGGGAATCCTCAACGCCATAAGTCGTCGTGACATAGTACACTTCGCTGACTTGGCGGCCATAGTACAGAAGTATTGTGCTATGGAAAGTGCTTGGAAAACCCAAACAAAATTTTGGGATCCTCTGGCTCTTACTAAACCCCTCGTCCGAACTAAAAGTGTGCACTCTCGCAAGTCACCCAATCCAATTACAAAAAAACCAAAGCCCACTACAGGGCGAGGAACCGTATTGGAGGGATGGCTCAATGGGCCATGCAAAATTCACAGAACACCGGATACCATACCAACACACAACCTTAGAGCATGTTGGATACTCCGGCAGGTGGCCAAGAGTGGCGAGGATTTCCTCATCAACCATACCACAGAGCACCATCCCTCTGAAAATAACAATACAATACTGACAGTCTTCGAGACTTTCGCCTCAAATAATAGGCGCAAACGAGCACTCCGCAGCCTCACCTAAGACTGCCATGTCACAGCAATAAATCCATGGAACGACATGGCCATAACCTTCAATGCCAGTGATGAACCTCAATTCCGAACAGTACGAGCACCAGCCGCTCTGGTCCTTAGTCCAATTGTGGACAAATTCCGTCTTACTAAAGTGCTCATGGACGGCGGCATCGGATTAAACCTCATCTACGAGGAGACTCTTAACAAAATGGAAATAGACAAGAGCCACATTGAGCAAAGCAGCACGACCTTCAGGGGAATCATCCCTAGTCGGTAGGCACGGTGTGCGGGAAGAATCACACTAGATGTGGTATTCGGCACGTCGGAGAATTATAGGCCCGAAGAAATCACATTCCAAGTGGCCCCGTTCAGTAGCAGATACCATGCCCTTTTAGTGCGGGATGCATTCACAAGCTTTCAAGCTATACCCCATTACGGGCACATGAAGCTCAAGATCCCCGGGCCCAATGGAATCATCACTCTAGCTAGTGATCCGGACGTAGCATTCCACGCCGAAAATAAAACTGTCGCACTGGCCCTTGAGGCACTATCCGAAGCCCTCGCGGCCGAAGAGCTAACGGCGTTGCGCTCCATGGTGGACAGGGACGACGTGATACTCGACAAATGACCCAAATCCACCTCTTTCAAACCAACGGACGAAATAGTCAAATTCGAGGTCCACCCAATGGACCATACAAAAACAGCATCCATCGGAGCACAGCTGAACCCCACAATAGACGCCGCACTGCGAGAGTTCTTGCGTGAGAATTGAGACATTTTTGCCTGGCATCCTTCAGACATGCCAGGTATCCCACGCAGGCTGGCCGAACATAGCCTAAACATACTAAAGGGATACAAGCCGGTCAAGCAGACTCTTCGGCGCTTCTCAGAACCTAAGCGACAAGCCATGGGAGAAGAGCTATCCAAGTTACTCGAAGCCGGATTAATCAGAGAAATAAAACATCCGGGCTGGCTAGCAAACCTGGTGATGGTACCAAAGAAGGACAAATCCTGGCGCCTATGTGTCGATTTCAAGGACCTCAATAAGGCTTGCCCGAAGGATCCCTTCCCCCTCCCCCGCATCGATCAAATCATCGATGCTACCGCAGGACACGAATCATTGTGTTTCCTCGATGCATACTCCGGATACCATCAAATCAAGATGGCGGAGTCTGATCAAGCCGCAACGCCATTCATCACTCCATACGGCCCCTTCTATTTTAACACCATGCCTTTCGGGCTAAAAAACGCCGGTGCAACCTATCAACACATGATTCAGACATGCCTGGAAACACAAATCGGCAAAACAGTGGAGGCATACGTAGACGATGTGGTCATCAAAACCAGACATGCCGAATCCTTAATAGACGACTTGAGGCTTATGTTCGACAATCTACGAACATATGACATCAAGCTCAATCCAGAAAAATGCGTTTTCGGCGTCCCTGCCGGAAAGCTGCTGGGCTTCATCATTTCCAACAGAGGATTGAAGCAAATCCGGCTAAAATCCGAGCTCTATCACAGTTGACTACCCCAACAGACCTCAAGCAAATCCAGAAACTGACTGGATGCGTGGTTGCCTTAAGCCGCTTTATCTCCCGGTTAGGAGAAAAGGCACTACATCTCTATCGCCTCCTTCGACGCACCGAAGACTTCGAGTGGATGGCTGCAGCTACGGCCAGACTGGAAGAAATAAAGGCCCTCTTGGCCAGCAATCCAATCCTGGCCGCGTCAAATATCGGTGAACCCATGTTGTTATA